CTCTCGGCTCACAATGTCTCTGGTCACGTCCACCTCAGCATCCACGAAGCTTCTCTGTTTCTGGGTGATGTCATCGTCCAGGTCAGTCTTGATGGTAGAACGCTTCTTGGCCATGATTTTGGCCTTGATAGCAGCAATCTTCTCCACAGACATGGCTTCTGACAGAGACCTAAGATCAGAAGAATAATTAGATAAACTAGGAGAACTAAACAGTTAAGATAAGACAAGCTGTGTTATATTCTGAATAGTAACAAAAAAAGGGCCCTATCAGGCGTGACGCAAGCGTTTTTTGCTAGTTTCAGCCCGACGCAGTTACCATTTTCACGTCCAGCGCGACGTTGTTTAAATAGCAAATGAACTTGCGCCCATGGGCGTGCTGGTCTGAAAGCGAGGTGCGTTCAAACTTGCATTGTGGGCGCGTTGCTATTTTAAGGCAACTGAAAACTGATTGCACCATTGACCAACTAAACCTTGGTCTAAAGTCAATGGCGCAGTATTTTTTGAAAATTATTTAAAGGGCGCGTTAGTAATATGCGCCTATATGCGGTTGCACACTCTGCTTATTACACACGCAGCAGCACACAAACATATTGAAGTTCCATTTAAAAAATATTTTAAAAAAACACATCTATTCTGATATACAGCTGATAAGGAAACAAACCACAAACACTGGCACATTAATAAAGCGGCTCTGTTCGTGTACTCACCACCTGCGTTTGGTTCTGGGTCTGTCTCTGTTCAGGGGCTCGACCTTCCTCCCGCGCCTTCACTGATTGTAGGATGGCAAATATATTTTTGGAGAAATTCTACAACATCAAAAGATCATCATGTTCAGGAGTTCATATTTAAATATAACTAACATTTATCTTTCTCATTTGTGCACAACTGTTTGTGAAAAAAAGTATAGCAGAGAAGAAAAAAAAACAAACAAAAAAAACAAACGTGACTTTAAACCAAGTTATGATTTTTTAACTAACCATTCAAAATCCAACCCTAACAAAATAATCCGAACAAGACAACATCTGTTTAATCAGTGAAACACCACCACCTGTAGGACAACTGTTTTATATATTAGAACCACCAAAACACTGGCTGCAACAATCCAGATGTATATCATTTTAATTAGGCAATAAATAGTTTGAAAAATATAATAATAATAATATTTGCAACAAGTATGAAATCTAGGTGTAAATAATTTTACTTCGCCAAATAAATAGTTTGAAATAAGAGCAGAACCTTTCCTCTCTGGAGAAGCGTTCAGTCTTTGCTCTTGCAAAATCTAGCGAATCCGCCATGGCACGAGCACAACTGGCATTTAAAGGGAATGGGAGATGAGACTCTGATTGGCTGACAGCACGTTATGCACAAAACACACCCATTACTCATTAAGAGAATAGGTACAACCCTTTTGGACCATGCGCCTGGTGAGCTGAGTTTTTTCCATCGTTAAACTAGCAAAAGTGGATTTGTGCGCTTCAGACCATGCGCTTAGATCGTTAAAATAAATGTTGTTAGGCAATTCCTTAAACATTGATTATATTTACTAAACCAGTGTTTCCCAACCTTTTTTTAGTCGCAGCACCCTTTGGAAATTTTAACTTGTGGCACCCTACAAAATTAATTGTCACAATATTTGAATTTCTAACTTCGATATGATAATTTGAAAAGTATAGATATTCGGTACAACAGGGAAGAACTGCAGAATATAATGTAATACAGATATTTTTAATATTATTAAAAAAATGTGTCTATCAATGGTGGCAATCAGTAGGCTAATTTCTATTGAAGAGACCAATTTATATGACTTTTTTATGATTTTAATGTAGGCTTTTATACATATGTAAACATTATTTAATTACCATTATAACTAGCTATCTCACAAATTTTTGCTCACAAAAATGTATAATTTTACAGTGGGGTAATTTTGGTGCAGTAGACACTTGATTTCAAATTTTGAATTGAATAAAAAATGACAAGTAAGCAGTCAGTAATAAAATAAGAACAAATAAAGAAATGAATAATAATAGCACAAATAAAAATTAACGACAGGCCTTCGAATTAAATAAATTGCTTTTTAGTTTTTCAGGTAGGTTTAACAGTAGGGTTAAGATATTTAACTTTTTTTTTTTTTTTTTACCAATTTTCCAAATAATGTTTAGTCCTAGAAAGCTATTATTATCAGAACACGCGAGCATAACATAGCGGTTAGCAGATCAATGAATGAGAGGGCAGCGTTACCAGAGTTGCCCATATACCACAACATTTTACGACACAGTAAGGCTATTGCAGACAGAAACAATACTGTACTACATCGATGTTTCCTGTCGGCTCAATTTTTGAGTGGACTTTGCTGTTCCGATGAGCATGAACGGTATACGAGTGGAGCGACTGAGCGGAGCGCACACGCATAGAGCGGGATAATACGCAGAGCGTCACACCACGTGAAAGTGAAACCTGAGCGGTGAACTCATTTTCGGCAGCCGGAATTTCGGTGCATCTCTAATTATTGGCGACATCAGAAATGGATATTATATAATATATGCTTTTTTGAACATTTTAGCAATTTAAAAATATTAAAAAAGGATTTTTTACACGGCACCCCGGTTGGGAAACACTGTACTAAACAACACCACTTTACTGGGTTAATATAACTGTAATTACACAAAAATATTAGAAACTAAATATTAAAAATGTAATTTAGAAAACTTATTGAAGGGATAGTCCATCTAAAAATTTGAATATTTTCATCATTTACTGTTGTTCCAAACCGGTATGCATTATTATCTTCTGCTGAACACAAAAGATGATATTGAGGAAAACCTTGTGTACATATTTTTGTGCACAGTGTTAAAATGCTGGATCAGTTTGATCATACCTGATCTGATCTGTCTGCACAATGCTTTCCTTATGAGCCTCGAGGCGAGCAGCCAGACGCTCCTTATCCAGACGCACACGCTCTTCATCCTGAGAAGCGCATGCAAAAATCATAAGCAGCATCCAGGCATGTTGCTTTTCAGCATTTCAAACTGCAAAACAGATCTTTTTTTGTATTCAAGTTTTAAAATGCTTCTTACCTCAACCCGAGGCTTTTTTGCCTCTGAAGACACTTCGTCTGCTGCCCTTTTAACTGTTAAAACAATTGCAATTTAATGCCAGGATATGGGTGATCGTTCAATTAGAGGCACTTTTGACTATTTTGAATCTTGAAAGATGACATTTCATCAAATTATTATTACATGCCCTAAAATTAAGATCTAATTATGGCCTATTATGATTTTTTTTTTTTATGGCAAGAATACGCTCAAATCAAAACACCCACACACCTTGCGTCGGCCTTTGTAAACCAATCTCAATGGGCGCACTTCTGTCGATACTCGTTGATGATGCTGTAAAATTGAATTAAATGACAAACAGATAAATAAATATGTTGTTTTAATAAAGAGCTTGAAGACTGTAATGTCTGCGAAATCCTCGTCACACTTACAGCTTTCTCCATTGAGATAGGACAGCAAGTCTTTTCTGTCGGGTCGTCTTACAACAGGGATGTTCTCTGTCTGCAATCACAGAAGCAGGCTTACATTTTACTTTCCAACCACCTGTGCACACAAACTAGGCCTACATTATAAAAGAAAACCATTAAGATAATGATATTTCCTGTTTATAGACAGCGAACTAAGCTTTAATTAAAACCTGAATATAATACGAACTCTTGCATTACAGCAGACTTCTGACTTCTGGGAGAGGCAGGGTTTAAATGTACTGGATGTTGTACTGGCGAAGAACACTCAACACGTCCGCCATGATCGCGCCTCCTCATTACGAGTGTTTTATTTAAGACCCAGCAACTTCTCAGTACAGGGCTGCCTCGAATAGTGCCTATATAAAATGAATGAATCGCAATTATATTTAATCGTATTGGTTGGGCTTCGACCGCAAAAGAGACAACATAAGCAGGTCAAGTAAAGGGATTATTTATAGACGAATAAAAGTTAAGTATTAAAAAGTATTTAAGACTTGAATGCACAGCTCAGGCAAATCTGGGGCAGCTAAACCGAACAGCCTCAGGTACCAGTCAAATATCAACTGTGTTTGTCACACACACACACACACACACTGGTTTACTATCCGTTTGGGAACTCTCCATAGGCGTAATGGTTTTTATACTGTACAAACGGTATATTCTATCGCCCTACACCTAAACCTGCCCTTCACAGAAAACTTTCTGCATTTTTACATTCTCAAATGTATGAACCACAAGCTTGTTTTCCCACGGTGACACGATTCCCCATATATGTGTGTATTTATATATACAGTATATATATATTCTTTTTCTATTCTTACTACTTGTTTTCTTTGTAAAAAAAATAATAAAAAAAAGCCTCTAACACTAGCATTCGCTATTATGTTTCTATTCTTTCGACTTGGTTTATTTTTATTGAAAAAAGACCCTCTAAAACTAGCGTTCCCTATTCTTTTTTTATTCTATCTACTTGTTTTTCTTTTTTATTTATTATTTAAAAAACCCTTGCTACGTTTACTGCATTAGACTAATTGAGACATTTGTAAGTCGTTTTGGATCTTCTAATGAAGGTCAGTGACATACATGAACTTCTTAAAAAACGTGTGAAAGACATGTACTTCTGGGAAAGAAGCAACATTTCATTAAAAACATACAGTATACTGAATGGACATCAGTAAACATAATCGTCATTTCATGAATTTGCTGAATTCACTGCAACTAATCCAGCCTGCTGGACATTGAATTAGACTTGGACTCGATTCCAAACTGCAAAAACAAACGACGTGATTTCCAAATTAAAATGTAAAAACATTTTTTTCTGATGTTGATGCGGGGTGCATCGGTGTCTCGTTGTCCTTTCAGAAAACCAACTGCATGCTACAAAACAAACAGCTTTTAAATGACATCGAGTGCGAAGTTACGGATGACATCAACTGCTGCGCGGCACGACAAATCCCCGACAGAAAACTGCTGCTGCGTTCTATTTATGACGTTTTCCTCTTTTGTTTTTTATCCGCCATCTCTATCTCTCTGTCGCTCGGTTCGGCTAATGTCCGTCCTGTGCACTGAGCGCTCTCTCCTCCACATCATGAGTAGACACGCCCCTTACAGCTGATTGGCTACAAGTTTTCTTTGGTACTCGGCCCGACTCAAAAAAACTAAAGCGTTTTTGAAAAAATACATACCCCACCTTTAACGCAATTAATAGCTTTGCATCACAGGAATAAATTACATTTTAAAATATATATATAAAAAAAAAGAAACCAGTTATTTTAAATTGCAATAATATTTGACAATATTTCAGTTTTTCTTGCATTTTTGTTTGCAAATAAATGCAGCCTCGGTGAACATGACAGACTTCTTTCAAAAACAAAAAAAATCATACCAACCCCAAACTTCTGAGTGTATTAATAGCATATATTTGATAAGATTTATCTAATAAATGAATATAAATTGAATATATTACATTACTGTGGCAGACGTGTAAATCGTTAAACATTGTAAAAATAATAGCTTTAAAAGTCAGTATATTTCCATATTATCACGGTCAATCATTTTTTAAATAACTGCAGTAAATTAGTGTTTAATTACAACCTTATTAAAACATATTATAGATAAGAGTATAACAGTGTAATAAGCTAAAAACATGACTTTTGTATTCCCTTTCGGGTTGCACTCACTTGTCTATACGTCTTCAGTGTGTCTGCTGGATTTTCCCTCTCAAACGTTTGATTATTAGTGAAAATGACGAAGACATCCACAGTTTTATCATTCTCTGAGGCCCAGGTGATGGGTAAGGCACAGTCTGTACTGCCACCAGGAGTCTGGAGAGAAGTCACATATGGATTATTATGATGACTACAGATGAACTAGATCTAATCATTCACAAAGGAGTGTGATGACTACAATTTGTGTTTGTAATGAGGGTACGGGTCACCACAGAAGTATGGGAGTGAATTCTGTTGTTTGAATGCATTCAGGATGCTGCAGTTATGTTGTGGTCTTGAAGTATTAACAGGAAGCAACATGTCTACATTTTCACAAAAAAAATTTTATAGCACAAAAAGCATCTTCTCACCTGGATGAGCTGTGCTGCTACCTGCACAAATGTCATATCAGAAGAGACAGCACAGGGAAGAACGCTTCCTTCAGAGAAAACCACAATCTGTGTGTCTGGCTCCGTCTGTGCAATCACCTGCCATTAAAATAAAGAGAACCACTTTGAAATTGAATTTAAAGCTTCACATTCACTTTTTTTTTTATCTTGTTTTTTCTTCTTCTTTAAAATCTGTAGGAGCTACCAGAAAATAAAAGATGTAGCACACAGGTGATCATGTTCATGTAAAAGGTCTTAAAAAATAAAATGTGTCACAAAGGTCACAAGACCTTTTTAAAATTTTTATTTATGGGTAAACTTCTCCTTTAAAGACCCCTTGATATAGCTTGATATGCACATTCGTCTTTCCTGTGTTGACCAATTGCCAATTGGTCAGGAAGCATAAAGCATAAAATTATTGTACATTTGAACCCAATAAAACCTACTGTATCATATAAATCATATGATATGCAAATATGTAAGGCACTAAATTAACAAAATGATCAAACCTTTGCTGAATAACCTGTTGTACACAATCTACTACATGCCTTCTGAGTGATAGTTTATACTTTTTACAAAATGCTTGTGTTTATTAATGTTTTGCTGTGAAATCTTTACTGATTTTTATAAACTGAACATTAGAATTTTTTATATTGTCAGTAATAAAGCAACTTTTACTTAATTAGCCATACTTTTTTTTTTTACAAAAATCCTGTTAAATGTATCCGATATGATTCATCAGGCTTTTGAGAATCATTAATTTGTTCATCTCTCAAGCATCGTTGTATTGCACTGCTTTATCCTGTACATTTCGTCCCCAAAATAAAAACTAGTTTTGATCATAAAACTAAGAATTTAAATATCATATTCATATTATAGGGGGATATAGAGTAACACATATGCATTTTATACAAGTAATTTTAACATTACAAGCTGTCAGAAATTAATTTCACTTTTGGCCATATTAATATCAGCTAATGCACCAAATTACATATTTTTGCTTAGTTTGGGCCTCTGAATAAAATCGAGGTGCTTTTCCTCCTCAAGTTTCTCCATATTCTCACTATATCACAGGGCTGTCAAAATGGCTGAAAAACTAAATTCAAATTTTTTACTTAAATATTATCAAAATTCGAATTATATTCGAATTTAAAATGCATCATTTCAGTTAGGGTGAAGAAATGCTTTTGGCTTCTCTCCTGAGGCCACAAGAGGGCGCATCGAGCAAAATATTATTAATGCACATTTATTCAAAGCATAAGATAACATGACTGTCTGTGAAAAAAAGTGCATAATGTTTAAAATAATGTTTATAAACCAATTATAAGTTGCTTATACAACTATAAACAAAACAGCATCATGTATGTATGCATAGTTTAATACAAAGGGCCGAAAGCCAACCACACTGAGTAAATTTTTCATTTTAAAACACGAGTTACAGAGAGATGGGGAAAAAACCCCACCATAAAGTCTCGATATATGTTTTTTCAAAGTTGAACTTGCATTAATTTGACATGGCTTTCTAAACATGCGTCTCTTTTGTGCGAGACGCGAGGGCAACGGTGATAGATGTCCCTCTAGAAAATGCGCGAAATAGGCGTTCTGTGTGAACGGCTTGGTTTCAGTTTTGACGTAAACAAGATCTTCTCCACATTGATGTTCTTTTTTGATGTCCCTCTAGAAAATGCGCGAAATATGTGTTCTGTGTGAACGGCTTGGTTTCAGTTTTGACGTAAACAAGATCTTCTCCACATCGATGTTCTTTTTTCCCGCAATATTTGTAATTAACAATGCAGCAGCGCCGCATCTATTGGCTTCAACTGGACAGGTTAACAAAAACATCATAATGCAACGAAACTTACACCGTCATCGCATCTCGTGCGCCACTGATAAGACTGCCTCCTTAACGCACACCTAAAATTCGAACGTTTTTGCATTCGAATGTGGAATATTCGAAATTCGAATTTTGTTTTGACAGCCCTACTATATCATACTATACGAGCCATAAAAACCTGATCTATCAAATATGATACTTAACAAAAAACACGTGTGTTTACAAAAAAAAGATTAACAAAAAACAATTTTTCTGACTATTATTTCATATGTTATGCTTTAAAGGGTTAGAAGTCTATATCAGATAAATGTTACTTTCAGATGTGAACAAGCATGCAGACAGAACAAATCAACCAAAAGTCACAAAAGGCTTGATCTCATGGGGTTTGTACGTTCTTGGTTGGTTATAATTAACAATTCGCTCTTTTTAAAGTGTCTAAAAAGATTCGCATATTAGAGGAATGCACTGGAGAGGCCATTCATCGATGCTTACAAGACTAGGGCGTCCCATCAGAAAAGGAATATGCAAGGAATGTGAAATATGTGCGGGGCGGACCCCGACAGCCACACACATTTCCTCCAAGGACAAAATATTAGCTTAAAATATGACTTCAGTCTCTTCACAGACTAACATTACGAGTAAGTGGAGTAAGTTTGCAGTGGTGTTTCTTACCAAACAGATCGCCGCTGCCACTGCCACAGTGCTGATGGAGCTGTCTTGAGTCACGCTGCTCAGAGAAGAACTTACATCCACTGCCACCAGAAACCGCTTGCCTGTGGGCTCCACAATCTAGAGACATAAAGAGTCACAGCATTTCTGGAGTATATTGAAAACAGCATGTTCTACAGCACATTTCCTGACGGCACT